CCTGCTTGTAATAGGGGTGAATAAATTGACAGCCACCTTTGTGCATGTTGTACATGAACTTCTATGAACTTACCTTCCTGAACTTTTGAAATAGTTAAACAGAGCAACTGTTTAGCACCTTGTCACTGGATATCAGTACTATCCCTATGTGGCCAATACAGAAGGACAAAATCTTAGGAGAGTAATTCAGCTCACCCAAAAGCACTTTCTCTGAATCACTCTGCAGTAGAATGGGTCTCTTTCCCATATTTATTTAGAGAGTGTATAAAGATGAGGCTCTTAACCTGGGGACCAGAGTCAGTTGCTGAAACCTAGGTGCAGTGAGTATCTCTTGCATACGCAGCTCATTCTGGAATGAGTCATAATTCCCAGGAAATACACATTGTACTAATGATTGCATATTTCTGCAAAGATTATTGTAAAAGCAGTCAAGATTAAGACAGCCAAATAATTCAAGATAAAAGTCTTACAAGCCTGACTGTCAGGTGTAGATGCGACAGTTCTGAAGGCCGTTTCAAAGACAGCTATTTCTGTTGCAAAGTAAAACTCTTTACAATGCAGGTTTTTTTTTTTCTCATTTAGCCTAGCAAGAAGTGTATTTTTAGAACAGTTTTGGGGTATATGCTGCAGCACTTATTTTTAATAATTATTTTCATCACTAATTATAAATTTTAACAGCTATAATGTGACGTACAAGAATGTAAGTATGTGATTGAAGGATTCACTAAAAATTAGGGGAAACTTAAGCAGTGTCCAAAGGTGAATGATGAGGCTCAAACAAGGTTATTGTTTCTTCATGACAGAATTTGTCTTATTTTCATTAAAGATTCTGCAATAAATTCCATTATAATTCTTTTTGTGTCACTGTCAACACAGAAAAGAATTGCAATACAGGATTTAAAGAGCTAGGTGGTCCTGAGGACTGAAGTAGCAGATATGGGATGAAGTTTATTTGTATAAAACCTCAAGATCATACTACTAGGATGTAACAGAATTTTTTCTATTAGTAGAAAGTTCATCAATTTGAAAAAGCTGAGGGAAAAGAAGTATCAAGACAATTTTGAATCATGAACCCCTCTGAAAAGAGCAAATACCAACTTATGAAGTTGCACAATAAAATAGGCTTTTCTTGCCACAGCTATGACAAAGTCAACTCTTGCAAAAGCCCAAGGCCCTTTTGTCCTGAAAGTGACTCTCCTCACCAGGAATTTACAGTTCAGCGAGAACCCAAATGCTAAACAAGAAAACAAAAATTAATTGCACTTAGTATGCAACTTTGCCTGCTTCACCTCCTCCCTAACATGAATTTATCTCCTATAGCTTACTTCATCATTTCAAACAGCAGATTTTAGAGACATTTCAGTCAAGATGTTAGGGGAAAATGTTAATGCATCAAGGGATATTTTCTCATGCTCTTCCCATTGTAATTTCAGCCTAAGATCTGAGCTAGGAAAGGTTAAGTTGCAAACAGGTATTTTTAGCATAAAAAGTAATGACTTTAGAGAAAAATGTATTGCATTTGCTCAAAGTAAAAAAGTGGAATTTGTAACGAAGCTCATTGCTAGTATTCATGCTTTTTTGAGTCTCCAGTAGCACAAGATACGCTAGTGCTATAAGACTGTTCAGAGGCTACTGAAAAAACAGTACAATCTTCCATCACCTTCATTAAGTCTGGAGCAGGTCTATGGCATATTGCCATTTAAAGTTTTATGAGCATAAGTTGAGATTTCTCTGGTTACACAGGAAGTTGGTGGGCTGTGTTCCTCTTGCTAGGTGTTTAGAAAGGATGCAGTACAATGCAGAACCTAAAACCAGGTTCCTCTTCACTAGAATAACAATAATGGGAAGGTTCAGAGGGCCCAGTGCAATGCCCTAATGAGTCAGTGACTTGTCAATGCTAGAAAATGCCTCAGGAACAATGGGGCTAATCGGAGTAAGCGTAGCATGGCTCCACTTTGTGCCTAGAGATCACACACCCTTCCTGAGTGGACATAGTGCACAAAGATTGGATCTGAGGATCTGGTCTTCTGCAAAAACCTCCGCGAATGTGACATAACCTAATATGATCTCTTCTTTTTGAACTATGTCAACTGCACATTCAGCAAGCAAGAAGATAAGATCACAAGCACATCAACAGACTACCACTGCAGAAGGCAGTCAGAAGCAAATTACATCTCCGCACGCTGGGCAAAGGGGGTGATTTGATTTTGAGTGAAAACAGGAATAGTGCACACAGGAAGATGCAGTGGCTGGACCTCAGCTATTAACTTCTAGGCATTTTTCTTTTTTCTTTTGAAACACAAAACTTTCATTAATAAAGTCAAATTTGAAGAGGAGAAGAAACACATTCTGAGAAAATAACTGGATTAAGTCAACATTACCAAATTTCTTGAGTTTATATGCCATGCCCATTTATACAACATGACACAGGTAGGAGGATTTCTTCCCTTGGTGGAATGAAGAGTTCTTTAATGACTTAAACTACCTGCCTTCCAGTGCCAAGAAGCAGGAAATCTATGCCTTCAAATTATGGACTGAGATAGCATGAGACGGAGATCAGGAGGGAGGTTTACAAGAAAAGGTGTCAGCAACTGGTGAAAGTTCAGGAATTCCATGGTAGGGACCTAACATGCCAGTGTAAAAACAGTCCCAGAACAGGATAATCAAGAAAAAAAGCCAGGAGATTTTAAGATGAGACTCTTGCAGGTGACTTGTCACTACACAGCCTATGTCTTGACTCTGAATCAGATTTACATGGTACTTCTGTACAGACACTGCTTTTGACACCATTTGCTCTGTGCAGATTGAAGGTCAGAAGATACAGATGATTAGTATTTAAAGACTTTTTAAAAAGTATGACTACTGAATTCAAAGATCTTTGTATAATCTTTTTATCATTCATCAGCAGAAAAAAACAAATGCTATTCTTTAGTAACATCCTTTACAGGCCTGGAATTCTAATATCTTCTAAAATGAAATTATGTACATACTTTACTACAGTTTCAGCTACTGGAAAATAATGTCTACTTTTCTTTCTTGTATAGAGATAGCAATAGATATTAAGATGGGTATTCCTACTGTTTCTAGAAGGCTAATCTTTTTATGCATGCACTGCTATGAAAGACAATCTTCCAGCAAATGTAGTCAATAAATGTGTTAAAGCTCAAGTGATTATAGGTACAGTGACTGTAAAATGTGATTTTTACTTGCAGTCTTTCATACTACATTCACTGATCTCAGGTATGAAAAGATTTGGTTAAATCAATGCAAACGAGATTTAAACTAGTATCAGCCTACTTGTTAGTATTTTAAACTGCTAAACTGAAACATGGACCAAGATATTAGTTTGACCATACCACTTAAATTACATCCTTAGTTAAATAAGTAAATTTTTTTTGCACAGTTTCAGATAATAAATTATTATTATTTTCAGAGGGAAAATTCTGTCTTCCTTTGCAAAACTTTATGTAGAAATTACACTTGATCAACTGTAAAAGCATAGGTAACTTCATCACATAGTAATACCTTCCCTTAAACTCTGGTTCATATGAAGAGTGATCAATTAATAAAACACAGTCTAAACAGGAAGGAGAAAGTACCAATAGATTGTCCTGTTCCTGTGCCATTTGACTGCTCTATGCACACACAAATTGGACCACTTTCTTTATGTTTGTACTGTATAGGAAAAGAAAGTTCATGTAATTTGTTTTATGCAGCATTTACATGGAAAAAAAAAAGGATTTTACAAAAGAGTAGGACTTGATAGAAAACAAACATATGAGTTCTATAAAATGGGTAAAAAAGCTCATGATACTTAATTGACTTAGAAGCTTGACTTTCAAAAATTATTTAGGCTTTGAAAGGACCAGTGTCACAAGTTTTATTAGGATTTCAATTCATATAATTTAGTGTTTTGGAGTTACTTTACCACATATTGCTTCCCTGTGTGTTTATAAAAAATACTGGAGTATGTTGCTGGTTTAGCGCTTAGCACTGACATCCAGTAAGCTTATTTTAATTCCAGAACCTTTCTGGATTAGGCAAATGTCGAGTCTGCACCACATAGAACACACAAATCTAGTCTGAGGCTTATATTTAAACTAACTGCATAGTTTTTTACTGAAATACCAGAAAAGAGAAACTACTACTCATCCCACATCCACTTGAAGTCCAAGAAAACTTGAAAATCATAAATTATTTAGAAATATATTATTTTAACTATCTTCAAAGCATAGAGTAAATAGAAAATTCTCCAGAATTAGAACTGAAGACTGCTGTATATATTAATGTCTTTTAAATTTTATGTTCCATTTAAAAAAAAAAAAATTATCATGCTTTATCTTGAAGCACAGGAGCAGTCACACCAGCAGAACATCAGTACTAACCTAGTACATTTCACATCTGATACATTACTTCAGTGTACTAGGTGTTTTTTCTTAAATTGTAAAATTGAGCGAAGCCATTTTCAGTTGTTTTAAATAAAAGCCATCAGGTTCTAAGTGATTTATTCAGAATTGGTTTTACTAAATACTAGTGGAAGAAAGAAAGTATCTATTCAGTAAGACATAAGATTTGAAGTTTGCAAAACAAGGTCTGGTACCACTGTCACTTCTTTCAGTCCGTAGCATCCAATTCTTGCAGGAACCCGAGTAGTTATTTTTAGCTTACTTGCTTAAACTAAATATTAGTTGGCCATCCAAATGTAAGAAAATGCCAAACATTAATTTCACCTAACCTTAGCTTTCTGAAAGCTGGGATCCTAATCTGCATCTTGAGTCACAGGAGAAAGGGGAGGCACTTCTAAAGATTGCTTCATCCCATGTGTGAATGATGACATCCCTTTCTTTCCATTGGCTCTATAGGAGACACCAAAGACTAAGCTCTCTATTTTTTGGCCAGCTAAAGTTATGAGAGGTGAATCTTTCTCTGAGAGCTAGCCATTCTGAAACAGTGCAAGTATCAAAATGGCCCCAACAGGTCTACTTTTTAGCTACTTTTACCTTGCCTTTTCAGTGACTCCCATTTGTTGATGAACATCAATAAATTCCATGAGTTGCCTTTGTAGCACGTTTTCTTTTCCCTCAATTTGCTTAATAAAATCATGCTGCAAAAGACTAGATACTGTTGGACGCTTCTCATAATCTTTAGTCAAGCACCTGTGCTGGCAAAAAAAGCATATGATTATTGAGAGATCACTGTTAAGTTTTGAAATACTGGTCTGTAGTTCATTCATGCCTCCATAATAAATACATCCATCTTAATCACAACAGCTTTGTACTGAAAATTGTTAAGATTTCACAGAATTGATGAGTCCAAGTTCAATTACTGCATTTTAAAACTAAATATTCTTATAAATTAATATTCTAAACTAATATTTTTATTCTTCTGTTTTCTTATTAAGAAAACCAGAAACACCAAGTGTGTTAAAACGTTCTTATTTCATGTTTTAAATCTGGAGCCTCACTTGGAAGTCAAACTGGATTTACAAACTAGGTTTTTCAGGAAAAGTATTAGTAACAACAGATTTTCACAGAGAATACAAAGATACTTTACACATGACATTTACACACGTTCCATATTCAGCTACAGTGATCTCAGTTGTTACTCACTTGTTAATGAAGTCATTGAATTCTGGTGACCACAGTTCAGGCTGCTGCAGCGTTGGAGGAGGATTCCTGCAAAGGTCAGTGTGATGATAAGTTAATAAGCTACTCACTTGACAAAAACAATGTGTGAAGGCAGGCTGAGTAATGAGTTTTAGAAGGCCACTGAAAAAGATATTGATTTCCACTGGTAAAAGGAGCATGGGTAGATGATACAATGCCTCACTGGTTCTCCTGCTTTACATAACTAACAAGGAGAAATAGCATGGAGATGATCTACCAAGCGTAGCTAAGAATCACTATAATTTTTTCAATCAAATCAATACATGGAAATGTAAATAACAACCCATTAATCACTATTCACTCCTAATGGCATGTTTCTCTTTTCAAGCCTGAAACAATACAGTTTCTTAAGAGAATTTTTAAAAAGAAATTCTATTTTAAGTTTTCCCAGAAGGACTGAATTAATCAACTTGCTGAACAAAGTGTCAGAAGGAACTAGCTCTTTATTAACTATTTCTCATTCATCAGAAGATAATCGCAAGTCAAGTGAAGGACTAAATGCAGATCTATTGTAAATAAATACTACGACTTTCTTTTCTGTTGATAGAGCTGTTTATTATAGGTATTAATTTGGTTAAAATTGTTTTAACAGTTGTCTTCCATTCAAACAGAGGTGCCATTTTCACGGAGCATAGTCAGGAAGACAAAAGGAATGACCTATAGATGAGGTGATTTTTCTGTCTACTTTCAGTCAATCATCAGAACTGCTTTTCTTTAAGTGCTGCTTAATGTTTACCCTGTCACTTTCAGGTTTTACTTAATGGAATGAAAGGGTATTGATCTTATATTTGCTCCAGGGCAGAAAGGTGCCCAGTATTTGTAAGGGTATAAGCCAGATGTTTTTTGAAGGCCTAGCTGAAATGACTGACCACAGCATTTTGTAACTGCTTTTCCCAGAGCAAGTAAAGGTAAGAAGAGCATTCGTGCTCTGCTTCAATGCCAAGTCAGCCAAGATTTGTTAAACCTGAAGTAATTTCAACTAATTCGGGTGACTTGGCTGAAAAGGACTTGAAGCACTCATGTATACTATGCAGTCTTGACTGTTGTGGTACTGCTCCAACTGTTAAGAGTGAAATCCACAAACTGCTGTGTGATCATCCCCTACAGACTTTGAGATCAATGTTCTCTGAAATGCTGTAAGTAGCGCTTTGGGTACTTTTATCTCCAGCTTCAAAGAAAACACGAAAGAAGTTGCTGTTTGCACTGCCTGAGGACAGTAACACTGGAACTGCCAGGAGCAGCACAAGCTAATGAGAGTGGCAGCCTAAATCTATGTGAGTGGTGGAACAATACTTTGCTTCAAAGGACATGAGATAACTCTTGAGGACAGGTATGGGGTCTGTTCACCACAGTGGTGTACTCAGACTCTGTATTTCTATCATAAGTCATTCTTCATAACAGAATATACAGGACCCAGCTAAGTCCTGCGCTCATGTATACTGGGCAGCAATCTGCTCAGGAGAAGGTCTTATGGCTTTTTCTCAGACGTAGCCACAGTCAGCTCTGAACTTCTCAATGTGTGCACATGGTTGAAGCAGAGCCTGCAGAAAATACAGCTGGACAAAGTACTTCCAACCTCCTCCTAATTTAAATAGTATCAAGAAACTCCACCAACTTAAACAGCCTAAGCTTGAGTAACAGTTATTGAAAATGTTCAGTCTAACCCTGCAAGAAATAAACACATCAAGATATTACCTTGGTATTTTGAAGAGTGCCCTCATAGGGTGCAAATCAGCAAGGGGTGGATCTCCATCTCCCAACTCTATTGCAGTAATACCAAGTGACCATGCATCACATCTGGCATCATAGGAGCTATCTAGCTGCTGCTCACAGGCAATCACCTATTGGAATAAAAGACTGGGATGGTCGTTGGATGGTCAAATTTAAGAGTACCCCCACAGTTGGGGGAATCTCTTACAGGATGGAGATACTCAGTGAAATAAACAGACTTGCACACATTTACCAAGCTAAAACATCCTGTTGCTGAAAAAAAAGCAATGCTTAAACTAGAGAAAGCAGGTGTTCATGAACATCAGGTTCTCTGACCAGATGTTCCCCGATCTGACAAAAGGGTGCAAATCCTTGGCTTTTTCAGCTGAAGGTGGTAAACTGCATCCCACGGCTGAGGGAAGCAGAAGGAAACTCCGAAACCCTAAATCTCTTTTCTGTGGATTATTCCTGCAAAATAACTAACGGAGCTATGAAGTGAAACAAGCAGAAAAGCAGAAGTTGAATTCACTAAATCCTACTGTGTCCTTCTTCAGCCAAATCAGTCAATTTCAAGACCAAGCTAATTTCTTAACAATGTGTTTGCCACTGGATTACAGCAAATGTATTTAATTTCATATACATTTCAGCTCATCCGCAATGCCAGATGAATCTAGAATTTTTAATCCCATTAACTACAGGTTTAAACCAATGTGTATGCCATTAGCTACATGGTTAGACCAATGTGTATAAATGGAGTATGTTTATAAAAATCCATGTGTATAAACAGAGTAGTTTCATGTGCTATAAACAGATGTAATTGCACACAAATAGTGTAAGTACATAGTCTTATTTATAATGAAATATTTTTCCTGCCTCAGCTTAAAATGTATCTTTATATGATTCAACTTCAGGCCAGAAAAATGTCCAAAGATACACAGTACATCTTATTCATTCATAATAACCTCTGTCATTTCTTGCTGTCAGTTATGGATATATAGTATTAAAAACTTTTCAGGTGTAGAAATCAAAAAATAAAAGCTATAATGTATCACAGTACCACCCTGAGCTCATTCTCTCCATGGGGAGATGAGATACCTATAGTTTCAGAGTTGGAAGGCTGGAAAGGATCAATGGTATACTCTATCCTCTTTAACGTTTTAGTAAGCAATTCAACGTCTTGCTCTCTGGCTCTAACATTGTAATTTCAAAAATAAACCCCATTTTAACTTAATCCTTGCAAACATGCAAGAAAAAAGGTTTAAACCACTTTTTTTAAAGGATGTTGCTATTTCATTTGGTGAAAGGACCAGTGGTCAGAAAGAAAGACAAAGAAAGAGCAGAAGTGCAGAATGAGGCAGCTCGAATACCAGTGACAAAATGTTCTGAAACATGAATCTAACCTCTGGAGCCATCCAGAATGGGGTGCCCACGGAGGTGTTCCGACGGAGACGAGTGCTGGTCAGCTGAGCAGACACACCTGGAAGAATGAAGGGAAGCTATAATCAGAGCAACTGCTATTTCCATCCAAGACAGCCCTTCTGAATGGTGACATCCTCATCTTGTCATGCTATGAGTTCCTCCGCAGGCAAATCTCAAATACATCTTTCCAGTTCTCTGGAAAGAGAGGCCCAGTCCTCAAAGGCACTCAGCGCTTCAGCTGAGGTTCTCCACATCCTTTGTTTCCAGTGACTTCAACAGGATGGGGATTTTGTCCCAAATGAGCGTTCCATTAGTAATCTGACTCCATATATTTTGACTAGCTAATTACACTTTTTGAATATCCTGGCTTAGGAGAGCGGTAAAACACTTTAGGGGGCAAAAAAACCCCAAACCTGTACCTTCCACTGATTCTTTTTTTCTTTTAATGCTCAGTACTGACACTAGACCTCTATGAACACTATAAAAGATACTTATCGTCATCTTTTAGCTGCTCTGCCATAAAAAAAGAAATAACAAAAGAGTGAAACCTCAAAAATTCTTACAAAAACAGAAGTCTCTCCATGCTGAAAGCACATTCTCAAAGTAACATCAAATGCCTGCAAATCAGCTTTGTAACATGAGCCGTAGTTTAAGGAATTAACTATTTCAGTCCAAGAGCTAGAAAGTGAAATCGGAAGTCTAAAGATTCCTTATGGCTTTAAATCAAAAAACATTGAAATATTAGGAATCCAGGTGGGCTGCAGCACACTTCTGACCAGCCTGCCACCAATTTCCTTCCTTACAAAACAAGGGGGCATCGGTTGGAAATATCTCTAGTGTGTGCAAAGAGGAGAGTACAACGCATGGAGAAAAACAGCCCCTCAGCTAGCATGTCCTGAACTATTACGGATTTATGAGTCACAATCAACTGTGAGGTCCACACATGGAGAAAAACAGCCCCATCCACTAGCAAATCCTGAACTATTATGGATTTGAATAATAACCGTGAGGTCCACCAGAGGTATATTTTGAAGTGCCAATGTCATGGCTGGCAAGAAAGGTGCTGTGTTCTACACTTCTTCCAACCTCAGTCTGATGGACGCTGAAGCTCACTTATTTTGCCTTCCTACATACATCTGCTTTCTCTTTCAGTTTCACTCTGTGAGTGCCATTTCATTATTCTGAAATACATGAAGCTCCAGTGAGCACCACTGGCCAGTTTCAACTCTGTATTGCCTGGTTTGAACATGCTTGACCTTATCTTCCTGAAAACCCTGCAGATGGTTCATAACAGGAGCAATTCACATTATCTGCCCAGTGGAAATACTAACTAAACCTCTGTCTAGATAGAATTTGATTGTTTTGGTTTTTTTTTTTCAGTAGCGATCAAGAAACCATAGAAGGCTTGATCTGTTTTTTCACTCTAAAGCTATGTGTTCAGCTCTGATTCACAAAATATCTGCATTTTTCCATCACAGAAATGTACATAACTGCTGAAAATAAGGCAGCAAGAAAGATTGCGCCTGTTCTTTTGAGACAAACACAACCATTGCTTTTGTGGCTGCCTCCTTCTAGTCTATATAGGCTTGAGAAAGTTGAAACTCTCTTTCCGTCCCTGCAGAAAGTCCAATACACAATGTTTGCACCATGGGAAGCAGGACAATGTGAGTCTTAGCACAAAGTCCATCAATCCTGCTTTGGCTCAGTTAAGCAGGGGCTTTGTTTTTGCTACCTCAAGGCATTGTCTGAGGTCCAGCTTCCGGCTCAGAGTCTGTGGCTGTTCCCAGCCCTCAGCAAAACACGTCATTCAGAAAGCAAGGAGTAAGCACATGTCACCACAGGTCTGTCTGTCACTGTTGCAGTGATGCCAACGGATATCATTACATGACCCTCAGTTTTGGAGGGAGAGGAGGCCACTCTTCCCTCTCCCTTTCTACATGTTGTGGGAGTCCCCTGTGCTAAACTCTTTTTTGCAGACTTGGACGAGGAAACGGGATTCAGATCTGCAGGCAAAGAAAGGCACTAACTAAATTTTTATGATTCCAGTGTCAGATTTTATAAATAATCATAACTTTCTGTAGAGATAAGAAACAAAATATAAAAGGAGCATTAATGTGCACAATCTTTGTCTATGCAGTGTTGTTTTTTTTCTATTTGAACTGTAATTATTAAATAAACTGAAGGATTTTTTCCTCCTTCCCCTATTTTTACTTCAGTAAAAAGCTGATTTAATTTGAATTATTCACCACTACTTTCTTTAGGCTCTTGGGTTTTTTTTATATGCTTTCTGTTTGTTTGTTTTTTTTATCCTTTTGCTCTTAGCAGTAAAGTGGCATTTCAGATTATGGAGTGTAGGTCTTATGACAAATATTTCCTTGGGCTTTTTCTGTGTATAGAGGAAAGATGATGTAATTCCACACTTAGTAACATTTCTTCCAGCATTTCAGTAACCAGTCAAGCATATAGCTGGTCAGGTTTTTTTAACTTGCATATTTTCCAGCAAAAAACATCTTGCTCCTCCCCCTTCTCCTTTACTACTGCTTTGTTGCAAAATGAGTCAAATATTCTCCAAAGAAAATCTAAAAATATGTCCTAAAATGGTTTTATTACACACAAATTGTAAATCTTATGAAAGTGAAGAGCTTAAGAAATAAGTGCATTGATAGTACCAATGCGCAGCATACCCAAAAGAAAATATTGTGCATATAATTGGAAAAAAGCTTTTACTTTTTTTCAGGCATTAGTTTACTAATAAAATCTGGAAATTAGGAGACTTACACCATGAGTATTATTCAAGCTTTTCATTGCAAAAACTGGCATATTAGAATAACATTGAAAGCAAAGCCACCTACTTACAACCTTAGCTCTCAATAAAAAAAAAAAAAAAAAAAAAAGAACAGTGCAGAAATGAGCTCCCTATTATTAGGAAAGATTTGTCTCACAGTAGCGCCCCATCAAAGCAGACACTGTTCTGATCTAAACTGGGAGCCTGTACAACGTCATTTTATGATTATGTCCCGTGATAGAAGTATGGACATTTTACTAGTTGATACTAATGAGGGAATGGTGAGCCCTAGCAAACGGTACTAAATTCACACTCAGCACGCAGTGGGGAGACTGCATTCCCAACACGTTAGCCACTGTATTCATACATAAAAACACAGACCCTACCCCAAAGGGCTTACACTCCAGCTATCACACTGCCTCTGGCTACCTCTTCCATAACCCTTCTTCATTTGTGCCTTCAGTGTCCACTTCCCTACCATTTCTTTGGATTAAGAACCTGCAACTCGATCGCTCCTCAAGCTAGTCTCTGGACCAAAAACTGCTCACACTGTTACCTTTGCATATATAAACAGGTTGAAATGCTTTGAACTATTTCCCAACAGCTTTTTAATCTCCCAGAGAAACAGATGTAAAACAGCAACAGCATCTTACACCGCATTCCCCTCAAGCCTGCTGGCAGATATGTTTTGTTATTCCTGTTCCATGCTGTTTGCTGCAAAAAGTGGCCTCTCCTTCCTTGCCTCTTCACCTAATGGTGTGAAGGCAGTCCCTCATAAATCACTCAACTCCACCTTTTTACTAGATCTGGAGGCAACAGGTCCTAACGGTTCAAGGTTTTCCTTTAGCACCCTAAGCCTCACTGTGAGAAGAAACTGCCATTCTTGTCAGGATGCAGACAGAGAAGCAGCTACTTCTCATGCAACAATGGTGGGGTCATAACTCAACTCCTCTGTAATTGCTGTTATCTTTGACACTGTCTCATTTCTTTTTTTGCTTCTTTCAGGTTGTATTGGTGTAATGGTACATATCCAGACAGGGTAACCTCAGACAGAACAGCTGAAATGCATACAAAATGCTAAAAAAATAATACATGTTATTCCTTCATACTCCATAATGACAAAAGACAACAGGGAAAGAACAAGATCGAAACAAAGCAATCCTGATAGTCCAAATTGCAAATGTCACAACACACCAGGTGCATAACCACATGTAGCCATAGTGCAAGTATGGTGGCATCCCCACTGAGACTGTAAAGGGAGATCAGAGAGCTGCTCCCAGGTTTAATTACTTAGCATGGATAGAAAGCATAAAGATATTTAATAGAAAATGTTACTAACTGGCCATAAGGACACAAGTGGTTGGTTTGATGACCTTACAAGAGATGTTTCAGAACCTTTTTGAAACAATATCAATACTCAGGATCCCTTATAGACCATCAACTGACCTCAAAACCAAACTTTTAAATGAAAAGAGCACAGAGGCAATATCGTTTCCTTGCGTGAGCTGTTGACAGAAAAGCATGCTTGAGAACTTCTGCTCAGTGATAAGTCCTCAAATTAAACCTAGAATTAAAATCAGGTTCTGACCAATAATATCGAAATAAAGAAATAGAAAACAAAGTTGAAATAAGAAGCCAAAAAATTAGAATTTTCAGCAGCATTTTATGTTGAAAGGTGTTACGTTATGGTGAAGCATGAATTCCTTTTCATAAATCCATGCTGTCTACTCCCAATCACCTTCTTGTCCTTCACATGTTTAGAAATGATTTCTGGGATTATTTTTGCTCCATCACCTTCCCAGGGATTAAAGTGGGGCTGACCAGCCTGTAGTTCTCCGAATCCTCCTTCTCGCCCTTCTTGAAGATAGGAGTGACAATAGCTTTCTTCCAGTCCTCCAGAACCTCCCCCAATCTCCAAGACCTTTCAAAAATTATCAACACTGGCCTTGCTCCCTCATCGGCCAGCTCCCTCAGGACTCTTGGGTGCATCCCATCAGCTCCCATGGATTTGTGTATGTTCAATTAATTTAAATGCTCCCTAAACTGATCCTCCTCTACTGAGGGTCAGTTTTCCTTGCTCCAGATGTTCCCACTGGTCTCAGGGATCTATAATTCCTGAAGGCCAGTCTTACAAGTAAAGACTGTGGCAAAGAAGACACTGAGTGCCTCAGCCTTTTCCATGTCCTCTGTCACCACATCCCCTGTCTTTATGTATTATTTTAATGCACATAGTGTTTTAATGATGAAAACTAGAGTTTCTCAGACACTCAGGAAAACATGCAGCGCAGATGCAGATCTTTAACAGGAACAGGGCATATCCAAAAGATAACCAAATAGCCCTTTACAATTCCAGAAAGATCAAAAGCTTAGTATCCAAGACGACCATGTGTATGAACGGCCTGGGAGAAGAAAAATCCATGGCATTTACTGCAAAATCAAGAGGCATAGAGTAAAAGCGGGATTAAAAAGTTAATCTGTACTATAAAATATAGGGTGATATAAATGGGAACTAAAGGAATCAAAGTCCAGTGGTTTTTACGGTAAACTCACCATGAGGATTAAAGACAAAGAAAAGGCATTTTTAGGCACATAAGGAACAAAATGAAAATCCTAAATCAGTTACAGAATCATTACAAGGTACATACTGATAATAAAATAGCAAACAGTGACCTAAAAAAAAGCAGAACATTCACTACATCTGTGAGATATAGAATCTTTTTTAAACAAAAGGTTTTAATACAGCTTCTTTCTTTAAGAAATCTGAGAACTTTCGTATTACAGGAGATTGGGCAGGATGGTGTGGCAGCGTGCTGTAGCTTCCCTTAGTCTATGATTCTGATTGCACCCTTTGTCCATGGCTTCCAGTAGAGCAGGTGACCACAGGCTGCCCTCCACATGCTCCTGACAGTTCAGTGCGGCATGAGGCCAATGACTCTAATCAAATCTCATGCTTCAGGGCTTCAGCTGGTTTCCTGAAAGGGATGCACAGGAATATTTGTTTTCCTGATGCACAATTGGCCAGATGTATTTAGATCAGAGAACTAGTCTCCGGAGCCTCAGGGATTTGTCCAGCTACACACAATCTGGTGCAGCATGCTGGTGAGAAAAGTCCTCCTTCTTAGATGCTGCCTTCCTTAGATATTAGATTTCAAAAATTGCCGCTTTTGAGACCCAAAAGGGATTTTTTTCCCTGTACAACTGGGAAAACCCTGGAGATTTTTCTTCTTGTTATAGGACACGGTTTTCCTGTTAAGATTATCTGGGTTACTAGCAACATCTATGCTGATGAGACAGAATATTTAAAATACCTAAGGACTGGAATACTTCAGTACAAATGTATCACTGAGTTCGACTTTCAGGTAAAAATGAATGGGTTTTAGTATACACAGGTGAGACCAGAGGGTTTCTAATAAGCTGAAGAGATGACTGTTTTGTGACTCATGAGAATACCAAGAGGAAGTCTTTGCTGGCCAGAAAGGGCTATTTTCTCACTTCACGTGCCTCTGGCATATGACACCGGCCTTCTGTGTCAAGCTGCTTTAATGTTTAAGCCATCAGTGACATCTTTATGTGAATGAGCAGAAGAAAATATTTGAAAGACCAAATGAACAGCTTATCCTGGATACAGCATTTGGCCACATGAATTCTTTTTTTTGTTACTGGACAGCACAAAGGTTTTCATTCACGCATGGCCCATAAAATAAGTTTTTAAGGACTAAGCCTTCAACAAAGAATTAAACATTCAACAATGAAAATGCTCCACAGCTCAAGTCAATGCAATCCATCTTATCCCTGCTAACCCTGGTATGAAAAATTTGGAATTATTACTTTGATTGGGTTCAAAGGAGTTTGACAAGCTGCTCACAAAGAAAGCTTTCTTCAAAGTCTTTTACTTTTATTGGCTTCTGCCATAGTCCCCTAGTAAATGCTTTTTAGAAGCGACATGTGAATGTCATGCTATATGGTATGCAGAAATGACAACACAATAATAGTCTGGTTTTGATCTGAATCAGTGAAGCAGATAGCTTTATTATGGATGCATGCTAGAATGACTAAGGCAAATATAAGTCTTGCTATGATTCATTGCTTAAAGTAAGCTAAGGGCAGAAAGAAAATTATTTTATTTTTTAATACTTTCAAATTAAATTATTTTAATTAATTGTTTAATTTTTTGCAGAATGATTCAGACAGCTTTTATAGCTAATACAGGCCAAGAAGAAAGAGATACAATAGGATATTCTGACTACTCCAGAATAAGTAATCTACAAAAGTTTGGAAAACCACTCAAGGTCATGCTGAGCTCCTCTTCAATGTCAGCAGGACATGCGAAGCTGGGAACTATGATATATATTAAAAGGGACAGAGATTAAAATGTCCTTTCCCAAAATGCCCCAATACTCAAACCTGGATCACTGACAATTGATTCCTCAACCTATTCACTGAGCACAAGGTGGCTCTAGACTCCCAATCCATTACAGTCTCACCCATACTGCCTGTATTTGCAGCACAGTCCTGGGAGCCTTCTCTGTCCCTCCAACGCCACATTCCACACAAGGCTTACCAGACTGACCTGTCATCAGCCAACAAACTGCATCTATCAAGCCTGTTCATGGTAGGGAGAGGCCATAGCACTGTGCCACAGCAAGGGAACACGAGA